GGAGAAAATGTGGGATTTGGGATTGTTCCCCCCCAGGTGCAGGAGCTGATCATCAACAAGGACCCGACACTGCTGGACAACTTCCTGGATGTGAGTGGGATCCAGAGGGATCCAGGGGGATTGGGATGGATCTAGAGGGATTGGGATGGATCCAGAGGGACTGGGAGGGATCCAGAGGGATCCAGAGGGATCCAGGGGGATTGGGATGGATCCAGAGGGATTGGGATGGATCCAGAGGGACTGGGATGGATCCAGAGGGATCCAGAGGGGTTGGGATGGATCCAGAGGGATCCAGGGGGACTGGGTTGGATCCAGAGGGGTTGGGATGGATCGAGAGGGGCTGGGATGGATCCAGAGGGGCTGGGATGGATCCAGGGGGATTGGGATGGATCCAGAGGGATTGGGATGGATCCAGAGGGGTTGGGATGGATCCAGAGGGATCCAGAGGAACTGGGATGGATCCAGAGGGATTGGGAGGGATCCAGAGGGGTTGGGATGGATCCAGAGGGATTGGGATGGATCCAGAGGGAATTGGGATGGATCCAGAGGGACTGGGATGGATCCAGAGGGTTTGGGATGGATCCAGAGGGTTTGGGATGGATCCAGAGAGATTGGGATGGATCCAGAGGGATTGGGATGGATCCAGAGGGGATTGGGATGGATCCAGAGGGATTGGGATGGATCCAGAGGGATTGGGATGGATCCAGAGGGGATTGGGATGGATCCAGAGGGGATTGGGATGGATCCAGAGAGGTTGGGATGGATCCAGAGGGGCTGGGATGGATCCAGAGAGGTTGGGATGGATCCAGGGGGATTGGGATGGATCCAGGGGGATCCAGAGGGGCTGGGATGGATCCAGAGGGATCCAGAGGGATTGGGATGGATCCAGAGGGGCTGGGATGGATCCAGAGAGGTTGGGATGGATCCAGGGGGGGTTGGGATGGATCCAGGGGGATCCAGAGGGACTGGGATGGATCCAGAGGGATTGGGATGGATCCAGAGGGATTGGGATGGATCCAGAGGCACTGGGATGGATCCAGAGGGATCCAGAGGGATTGGGATGGATCCAGAGGGATTGGGATGGATCCAGAGGGATTGGGATGGATCCAGAGGCACTGGGATGGATCCAGAGGGATCCAGAGGGATTGGGATGGATCGAGAGGGATCCAGAGGGGTTGGGATGGATCCAGAGGGATCCCGAGGGATTTGGGATCCCTCCCTAAGCTGTGGGTTGGATCCATCCCTGTGCTGACCCCCCTTTCCCCCCTTTCCCCTTTCCCAGGAAATCATCGCCTTCCAGGCCGACAAATCCATCGAGGTCCGCAAGTTCGTGGTGGGATTCATCGAGGAGGCCTGGTGAGGGGCTGGGGGGCAGGGTCACACATGGGGGGGCAGCACCCATTTGGGGTCAGTGTCACACATTTGGGGTCAGTGTCCCCCATTTTGGGGTCAGTGTCCCCCATTTGGGGTCAGTGTCCCCATTTTGGGGGGTCAGCCCCCATTTTGGGGTCAGTGTCACTCGGGGGGGGTCAGCCTTCATTTTGGGCTCAGTGTCCCCATGTTGGGGTCAGCCCCCATTTTGGGGTCAGTGTCACCCATTTGGGGTCAGTGTCACCCTGGGGGGGGTCAGCCCCCATTTTTGGGCTCAGTGTCACCCATTTTTGGGCTCAGTGTCACCCATTTGGGGGCTCAGTGTCACCCATTTTGGGGTCAGTGTCACTCATTTTGGGGGTCAGTGTCACCCATTTGGGGTCAGTGTCACCCATTTGGGGGGTCAGCACCCATTTGGGGGGGTCAGCACCCATTTTTGGGGTCAGTGTCCCCATTTTGGGGTCAGTGTCACTCATTTTGGGGGTCAGCACCCATTTGGGGGGGTCAGTGTCACCTATTTTTAGGGCCAGTGTCACCTATTTTTGGGGTCAGTGTCACCCTGGGGGGGGTCAATGTCACCCATTTGGGGTCAGTGTCACCCTGGGGGGGGTCAGCACCCATTTGAGGGGGTCAGTGTCACCTATTTTTGGGGTCAGTGTCACCCATTTGGGGGGTCAGCACCCATTTGGGGGGGTCAGCACCCATTTTTGGGGTCAGTGTCACCCATTTTTGGGGTCAGTGTCACACATTTGGGGGGCAGCACCCATTTGAGGGGGTCAGTGTCACCTATTTTTGGGGTCAGTGTCACCCTGGGGGGGGTCAGTGTCACCCAGCCCCATTCCCACATCCCGAGGTTTCCCCCATCCCAGTTTTTTGGGCCCCTCCAGTCTCTGGGGGTTCCTGGGTGACCCCGGGGGGTTCTTTGGGTTGGGGTCAGTGTCACTCATTTTTGGACTCAGTGTCACTCGGGGGGGGTCAGGCCCCGTTCCCACATCCCAGTGTTGCCCCATCCCAGTTTTTTGGGCTCTGGGGTTTCCCGGGTGACCCCGGGGGGTTCTTTGGGGGGCTCAGCCCCCATTTAGGGGTCAGTGTCACCCATTTGGGGTGTCAGCCCCCATTTTGGGGTCAGTGTCCCCATTTTGGGGTCAGTGTCCCCCATTTGGGGTCAGTGTCCCCATTTTGGGGGGTCAGCCCCCATTTTGGGGTCAGTGTCACTCAGGGGGGGTCAGCCCCCATTTTGGGGTCTCAGAGTGCCCCATTTTGGGGTCAGTGTCCCCATTTGGGGTCTCAGAGTCCCCATTTTGGGCTCAGCCCCCATTTTGGGGTCTCAGAGTCCCCCATTTTGGGGTCTCAGTGTCCCCATTTTGGGGTCAGTGTCACTCGGGGGGTGTCAGCCCCCATTTTGGGGTGTCAGCCCCCATTTTGGGGTCAGTGTCCCCCTTTTGGGGTCTCAGAGTCCCCCCGTGCCCCCAGCAAGCGGGACATGGAGCTGCTGCAGAAGCAGTGTCCCCATTTTTGGGGTCATTGTCCCCCATTTTGGGGTGTCAGCCCCCATTTTTGGGGTCAGTGTCCCCATTTTTGGGGTCAGTGTCCCCATTTTTGGGGTCAGTGTCCCCATGTTGGGGTCAGTGTCCCCATTTTGGGGTGTCAGCCCCCATTTTGGGGTCAGTGTCCCCATGTTGGGGTCTCAAAGTCCCCCCGTGCCCCCAGCAAGCGGGACATGGAGCTGCTGCAGAAGCAGTGTCCCCATGTTGGGGTCAGTGTCCCCATGTTGGGGTCAGTGTCCCCATTTTGGGGTCAG